GCTTTACAATGAAGGTGACCTGAATTACCATTTAGCTTGTCTATTAGCCATTTAAAAATTTTTCACTTAACAGAGCCATGGGGGCTATTACTAGATTGTCTTCTAAACATTCAAGAAACTTTGAAAATAACCACAAAATAGTAGCCTGACTGGTTTTTCTTATTCCAAAAGCTGTGTTTGTTATCTCCTTCACTTTGAGCAAATGATTTAATCTCTCTAAACTGCACTTTCCTCCTTTGTAAAATAAGGAGTGTAAAATAATATCTCATAGAATTGTTAAGAATTATATGAGATTACCAATGTGTAGTAACTAAACGATTTCTTCTCACAGAGGAGAGGTCTAAAGAAATGTACTTAAAGTTATGAGGTGTTGCAGAATTGTTGAGTAATCTTAATTTCTTTCCCCTTTGAGCAAGTAGTCCTTCTTATACCTCAGGAAAGGGTTCTTTTTTTTTCAATGTGGAATTCACGCTCCCATTTTTTAACTTTTCTGAAGCAGAATGTGAAATGTTTGTAAATTTGCTCACCTCAGTGTGACTGCTTAAAAGTGAAGACGAAAGCTATATAAGGCAGTTAGGAGAAGATCGAATAATGGTCAAATAACTATCATGAAATAACCTGTTGTACCACATAGAAGCCGTTATATTAAGTGCTAGCGAACGGGCAACATTGCTGTTTCTCTAACATGCTTTTCATTATACTTAAACATAATAAGTAAGTAAGTCCTTACTGTAAGGACCTGCTGTTTAAATTGGAGAGGGAGGAAAAGTCAGCTAGAAATAGACTTTTTCCAGTCTTGGCTTTTTCCCAAGCCTTTCCTCCCTAGTTTTTTCAGGGGCAGTTTGGAAACTTACTCCACTCCTTCCAGTAGAACTACTGTCCTCCAACCCCAGGGCCTGTTATGGACGAAGCTCCCTGCACCCTACCTAGCTTCCCCTCTCCCCCCCCAGGATGAAACCGGTCCTTGGTGCAAAAAGGGTGGGGACCGCTGTAGTAGAATAATAGTAAAAACAAAGTTTCAATGTTGTCCATTCTGCTCAAAAAACTTTACCAGCTTCCTCTGCCTACTGAAAAATGTTGCTGGCCATGATCCTTTCTAATTTTATCCCCCATTAACTTGCCCATACACCTTGTGCTTCAACCAAACTTAATTGGTTTTTCACTACACTGGGCTTTTCTATCTGCCTTTGTTCAGATTCCCCTTTCACACATCTACATAACCAAATCCTCTCTGCAGTTCAAACTGCTTGTTTAATTATACTTCCTTGTATTACAGTGTTACAATTACTTCCTCTTCTAGACTGGAAGTTAAACGGAGGACAGGGTCTGTGTCTGATACATTTTTTTTTTTTTATTCTTTGATGATGATAGCCAAAGATGATGATACATTTTTATATACTGCATTTATTTGGTGCCACATTCATTAATTTTTAAAAAATCAAGATACCCTAGTTTTTTGTTTGTTTGTTTTTTTTTTGAGACAGAGTCTCACTTTGTTGCCCAGGCTAGAGTGAGTGCTGTGGCATCAGCCTAGCTCACAGCAACCTCAAACTCCTGGGTTCAAGCAATTCTACTGCCTCAGCCTCCCAAGTAGCTGGGACTACAGGTATGCGCCACCATGCCCCCATGCCCGGCTAATTTTTTCTATATATATTAGTTGGCCAATTAATTTCTTTCTATTCAAAGTAGAGACGGGGTCTTGCTCTTGCTCAGGCTGGTTTCGAACTCCTGACCTTGAGTGATTCTCCTGCCTCATGCCTCCCAGTGTGCTAGGATTACAGGCATGAGCCACGTGCCCGGCCTGTAATAGTCTGTTGATAGTGATCAAGTAAGCAGAAAGAAATTGTGTCAAGTAATCTGTGTTAGCTAAAATCCACTTATCAGATACTACAAATCGGGAATCTCCAGATTTACCTGATGTAGATAAGGTTTATACTTAAAACAATTGAAAATTTTTTTACTTATTACATGGAATCCTAGAAGTATACAATCTGGGTAACATCATGTTAGTTTCTCGTTAAGTGTACCAAAATCAGTGATTTGATTTGAATAGGAAAAAAATGTCATGGTAAAATAAGTTGCAAAGTTATTAGTAATACCACTATTTGATGAAATTTAAGTGAACATTTTATGATATATTTAGAAAGTATATTTTTCATATTAGGACAAAGGAATTCAAATGCATGGAACCCTGAAATCTGGTTAAATAAAAAAAAAGTATATAAAGAAGTCTCAGCCTTTTATTCACTGAAATAGCACTGAGTATTTCTAACGACTGGAGGTGAATGTCAGTATGATTTGTACCACTTCTGTCAGGTAAGTCACAACTGTCATCTATATGTATGACACTTTAGAATGTTGTCTATGTGTCCATTTGCCAGCAAAAATATATATTGTGTGGTAAAACCTGGCAGTGGTCAGAATCTTTGAACAAGCTTCTAAAACTTTTTATTTTGTAGTTAATTTTGTCCTGATGAGTAATTCTAAAACCACAGTGACCACTACTTAACCTATAGTTAACCACTACTTAAAGCAGTAGTTTAAGTTTAAATTATTTTGTGCCACCACAAATTCTGACCTTGCAGCTTTCCTACTGCAGTCAGTGAAGAAAGTTTTATCCTTTCACACAAATGCAACTTAACAACGCATTACTTTGAAAGTTTTAATGATACCTGGAGTTGGAAGCTTGTCAAATTAGTCTCCCTATCTTCAAGTATCTGTATGCCTGGAGAATTTAGGTAAGCAACTTAACTTTAGAAGCATTGCCAATCCTTTGAACTCTATTTTTTGGATGGCTATGAGATATTTTTTAATTAGGATGAATGTCATAAATCCCATTCTTGATTTCACTCTAAAACGATTATTTTAGCACCTGTGTTATTTAAAATTCATCTAACTTGAGCTAGGTACTGTGGTAGTTGTAGAGGCACAGGTGTTCTCACCCTTGTGTCTATTAGCATCACTGGCAACACCTATTTGCTCAGCCCCCAGCAAATCTAATTCTTGTAGATACTCCCCTCTATGCTTGTGCATTGATGAGGATTAGGGAGGCTGCATTTAGAAATATGGTTCTGGAGGGAAAGGCTGAGTGGGTAAGAATGTGCATGGTTGGTAGAAGATCTTGCAACTCATAGTGACAAACTTCAATATCTACATAGAAAACTAGAGAGCAGGCCGGGCACAGGGGCTCATATCTGTAATCCCAGCACTTTGGGAGGCTGAGGTGGGAGGATCACTTGAGGCCAGGAGTTTGAGACCAGCCTGAGCAAGGGTGAGACCCCATCTCTACAAAAAATAGAAAAATTAGATAGGCACGTGTGGTGGTGTGTACCTGTAGTCCCAGCTGCTCAGGAGGCCGAGGTAGGAGGATCCCTTGAGTCTAGGAGTTTGAGGTTGCTGTGAGCTATGATGACGCCAGTGCACTGGGTGACAGGGCATGACCCTGTCTCAAAAACAAACTAGAGAGCCAGTGTATTTGACAGTCTGTTCTGATGAAGCTATATTTCTGGTTTCTGCCTTTTAGTGAATTTCTTTAGAAGCTTTTTTTAAAAAATTGTTTCCAGCATATTGTGGGGGTACAAATGTTCAGGTTACATATATTTCCCTTGTCCCTCTCCCCCCTTTAGAAGTTTAAAGTGCTAATATTGTAGTTACAAACCAACTTGCCAAATACATGGAAGCCCACTTAAAAACTGATTTTCATATGCTGTGATTTTTAATGTTTTTAATTTGAGGATGAATTTATATCTTAATAGTTAAGGATGTGCACATTGGCAATTACAGCTTAAAGTCTGGGAAGATAAGGATTCCTGAGACTAATATTTATGTGGATGGACGTATTGGGGGAAAGAGAATAATTCTTTCTGAAATAATCCTAGACCTAAAATTTAGATCTGTAGGCAATTTTAAATGTTGCCTGTCAAGGCTTCATAGGAGTTTGACAACAGGTAGGATGGAAATTATTTAACACTTAAATATGCCTACTGTGTGTCATACAGTTTTCTAAGTCTTTTACAAATATTTAATATTTGTACTTTGTGTGCTATTTTGAGTTCTGCAACATTAGACTTATACTTTTATGGGAACTGGATTCAAATAGTTCCAGTTGAAATACAAAGAGTCCTATGATTAGTTTTCCCCTACATCTTATGACAAATAATTTCATGAAAAGAAATATGAAAAGGCTACATCTTCCTTTGAAATAAATGAGATGGAGCCTTTCTTTTACCATTAATGTTCATAGTTTTAAAAATCCTAGAATTTTGCTACTTTTTAATGTTAAATTGGAAAACAATAAAAGAATACACTTTTCTCAGATGTTTTCCGTACCACTTATTTATTGCATTGTATTATTACATTTTATGCATCTCATTTCTATATCAACTCATGGTGATAGAAAGTCTACCGGAGTGTTTAAAATGATGAATGAGTGAATGAATAAATGGAGAAGTGGTTTAGAGTTTAGAATGGCGATATGAAGGTAGAGAGTCGGCATCTCAGCCCCTCCGTCCCCCCAAAATACACATAAAGATTATTAATGTACACGCATTTTTCTCTTGATGCTATTTTTCAATGGAGGGATGAGGGAAAGTTCACAGTTCGGGCATTTACATCTGGAATTAGGCTATCTACACAGTCTCCCAGGAGCGAATTAACACAGTACAACAGATGCACGCTAATTTCACGCGGGGCAAAAGCGAATTATGTAGAAGATGAGTTACATCTTGGCCTGAGGTTAGGAAACTACAGCACTGTTTTGGTAGGGATCTTTTGGTTTTGTTTTGGGCATGCAGAGAGAGGGGACTGACACCCAAAAGAAGATCCGCCCCAGGCTGCTTGTCGGCCCGGGGGCAGCAGGGGGCGGGAGACGCTTAACTCTAGACACCGCATTCCCTTTCACGTGACGCGTCGCTCTCTTTCCCGTGGCGGCCCTGTTTCCGGCCGGGGCATCACCCGGAAGTGGGGGTAGTGGAGGAGGGAGGGAGGGGGAAAGGCGGCCGGCCTTGGCGGCAGGGGGAGGAAAAAGAGAAGCAGAGGGAGGAGTTGCCGCTGCCGCCGCCGCCGCCGCCGCCGCCGCCACTGCCACTGTGAGTTCTCCGACTGTGTGAGCTTGGAGCCTGCATGCGTGGATTTATTGCTGCCACGGTCTGCGTAGCTCCAGAGGTTTAACCATAGGACAGAAAAATCAGGTAAGTCTTACACTTGGCTTCCCGTCGTCCCTTTTTACTGCAGGGGGGTGTTCTGTGCTGTCAATTGCTACTAGGAAATGTGGTGAGAAGGTCATGTTAATCTGGAGCTATCTACAAACTCTCACTTCACAGCTCAGGTATTTTCCATATTTATGTTTTACCTCCCCTAACAGGGGATAGAGGAGGGGAGGTTAGGTCCTGACCCGTGTCACTTTCTTGTACTCTCCTGGGGAGAGTGTCCTGATCATTCATGGCCTATGTTAGCTAATGAATTGAGGGTACAAGAAGGTCGGTTACCAGTGTTGGAAGTCACATGGATTGGGGTCTTTGCTTAATGCCACCTCTTTATACTTTGGAAACTAAGGTTACTACTAAGATCACTATAACTGATGAAATAATAATTAAAAAAATAGATATTTGGCTTCTTGTCTCACTCTGAGAGCATGAGGTAAACTGAGAGAGCACTCTTGTTTCCACTTCATTTGGTTCATTGTGCCCCCTTTCCAGTAAAGTTACCTCCATCCTTGTCCCACCCTGTGCTTCTTATCTTTGATACTTTTTGTTGTAGACGTTGAGGTTACCTTAAGCACAGACAATGCTCTTTTATCGTTTCTCAAGTCAAATATTTTTCCAGGATCTGATCTTTCTTTTAATCACAGCCTCTTCATCTAGAGTAGTAGGGCTTTGTATTGAGACTTAATGTGTGCAGAACGTTGAATTGGTGATACTGAGGTGTGGCAGTGGGGAGGGAGGATGCACGAGAAATAAAAGTTTTTGGCCTCAAAAGAGTTTACAGACGATTCATTCACTTGAGTTTAGCTATGAAGACAGTGGCTTCTAGCAGCCCCACTGATTGAATAGCTAGGTTGCTTATTGCATCCTTTTTAAAGGTTATTTTGAGCTGAGGTTTTACTTTTTATATTTCAAATTTTCTTGTGTATACAGTCATGACATGAGAGGGTTTTTTTTTCTTTTTTTGTAGTTGAGTGTCTCAATGTAATAGGAAAGACAGATACACGATCACCTAAACATTTTTTTTAAATCTCAGTAACATTATGTATTAGGAACAGGAAGTGTTATGAGAGTGCAGGAAAGGGAGTATGTGAACTGGGCCTTGAAAAGTGGAAAAAATAATGTGAGCAAAGGCTGCGGGTGGGGGAGGAGTGACTGGAAAGATGCAGGACATCTAAATAACACACTGTATGGCAATATCCCTGTTACTAACACAGCCACATCTTATAAGATGTCACTCAGGGGTCCTCAAACGTTTTAAACAGGGGGCCAGTTCACTGTCCCTCAGACCGTTGGTGGACTGGACTATAGTTTAAAAGAAACTATGAACAAATTCCTATGCACACTGCACATATCTTATTTTGAATTAAAAAAACAAACGGGGAAAAACACCTGCATGTGGCCGTAGTTTGAGGACACCAGAATTGTCACTGATTAAAAGAAAAAAAATATAGAATAAAGAATTGGTCAGCTCACAACCATATTTAACTACATTTTGGCCAATAAGAAAGCCTATATATAGGAAAAAATACATAGAAATGACATACAATGTTAATACATGTGGTTTAATTCTGATGGAAACTCAAATCTAAAGGAGAAAATAAAGACTTGCTATACTTTGATTCTGATTGAGTGTTGTGCCTTAAATGTAATTGGGAATTAAAAAAAAAATTGTTGGGAATGAATAACAACATTGTCTAAAGCCAGAAGGTGTTCCAGGTTTTCCTTAAGGAATCTCTTATTTTCCTTTTCTGCTGCAAATTGATATCTCTCTGCTGATCTTAACCTGAGAGAAACTATTTGTTTTAAATCATAACCTTAGAAATATCTTGATTCCTGTCTGACCTCTAGATGGGGTTAAACACTAATCCCTCCAAAGGATAGGTTAACATCTCTGTTCTATAAAGCAAAAGGTTGTTTTTCTTTGAAAAATGTATAAGGAAGCAGTAACATTTGTTTAAAAAATAAGAGAGAGCACACAAAAAATAACCCCAGCTAACACAATATAGCCTTTACTTCTGTGATAGCTCTAAACATAATATGTCCTTTTTTAAAAAAAAAAAGAAATTCTTATCACAACTGCTTTTGTCTGTATTTAAAAGTGCTTGGCAGACTTTATTAATCAAGACTTTTGACATCCTGATGAGTGAAAATAATCTTCATTTGCCAGTTGGGGAAGTAAATTATGAGGAGAGATTTATTTGAGCTGATACAGGAACTGGCATAGATGAGAATATTATTTGGGAGTTTCATCTCAAATTCCCTCTACTCCTCTTTGTTAAAGGGCTGTCCATGTTTTACAGTGTTTTGTTTTTATTTTATTTTTAATTTTTTAATTTTAATTTCTTTAAAAATTTTTTATACTCAGGCTTTTGTCTTACATGATGTTTTGTTTTTAAACAGTGATATTTCTTAGTACATAGGTCAAAATGGGATGGGGGTAGCAGGCAGATAGGTGAAAGGCAATGGTTAGAGTATTTCAGTTCAATCTACCATTCCAGCAATCATGTTTTTCAATCTCCGATTCCAGCAATCATGTTTTTCACTTCTGAATCTCAGTCTTCAGGTTGATTTAATGTGATATAACTTGCTTACTTAACTTGCTGAGATAGTATGACTGGAAAAGTAGCAAGATTAAAATGTGTTTCATTGAAGTGTAAGTGTATGATGTTTTTGGTTTCAAAAAGTTTTTCCAACACCGTTTGCAAATTGAAATGATTCCCTCATTTTTATGAGCTCAAAAATATGGGATATTGGTAGATCACATCAGTTTTCACAGATATCCTTATTTTGAGCCAATTATGTGTACTTTATACCATGTTTTCTGTCCATATTTAGAATTATACTGCTATGTCTCAAGGATTAAAAAATTGTTTTACTTATTTTTATTATAAATCTCTAGTGTAGAAGTCCAGTTTTTCAGACCTATAATCAGGAGTGCATTTTAACAATTTACTAATTAAAATAAATGGGTTATTTCACATCTTAGGGATGTTGTTTTAGCCTGGCCATTTACCTTAGTTAATTTTGTTTGTAAGAAAGTAATGTGTTTTGTTGTACACCATTGTAATTGCTACTGATCCTGCGTGTGCAATTGATGTCCCAACCAAAGCAGGAAGGAAAAAATAAATAAACTACTTCCTTCTCCTACTCTCTCACCTGAGAATTTGCAGAGTACTGTAAACTTTTTGGAATTGTGAAGAAAATGGTTTCTGCTCTTGAGTGTTCACCCAAAGCAGGCTACCTGCTACTTAAGAGAAGAAAATACTAAGAGGGCTTCTGTTAAGACCTGAAAAACTGTCAACAGAGATATAAGAACAGAGAAAAAGACCTCCAAAGTGGAGAGCTCTCTAAAGAAATTCTCAGGACTACTTAGGATAAATTTGGAGCTGACCCCTAGTGTCATGAGGATACTTAAGCGTGATCCTTGAACTAACAAAAGCTTACAGAGAGCTTAGTTGTTGTGGTAGGAGTAAAAGGAGATATCTAACTTTTTTGATGATGACAAAATTCTTTGCTCTAAGAATTCTTTTTTTTTTTTTTATTTGAGACAGAGTCTCGCTTTGTTGCCCAGGCTAGAGTGAGTGCCATGGCGTCAGCCTAGCTCACAGCAACCTCAAACTCCTGGCTCAAGCAATCCTCCTGCCTCAGCCTCCCAAGTAGCTGAGACTACAGGCATTCGCCACCATGCCCAGCTAATTTTTTGTATATATATTAGTTGGCCAATTAATTTCTATTTATAGTAGAGACGGGGTCTCGCTCTTGCTCAGGCTGGTTTCGAACTCCTGACCTCGAGCAATCCGCCCGCTTCAGCCTCCCAGAGAGCTAGGATTACAGGCGTGAGCCACCGCGCCCGGCTAAGAATTCTTATTATCTATAAATTATCATTAATTTAACAATATTAATGTATTTATAATATCAAGTATATGGTACTTATTATTAAAAAATACATTAATTATATTATTAAAGCAATAATATTAAATCATTTGCATACAGTGAGTTTCATTTCGACCAAGAAATGCTTTCTCCTGTTTCACTGTTAATTCTAAATATTACTTTTTAGTTCTGATTTATAGCCACAATATCTTGGTACTAATTTCTAATCACAACAGTAAGTGCATTTTATGTATTAGCAATCAGATTGGTGTCATATACCTTCAAATATTTTTCATCTAAAGCAAAGTGTTTACCTTACACATCTGTTTCTACCCAGATTAATTTTGGTCATAAAAGCCTTTATAGTCTTAAGATATTTTTAAAGCTTTAAATTCCTTGAGTGATGATGGGGAAAAGAATTATTTGTTTAGTACAATATATTATTTGACCTTGAGTGCCAGAGTATGATTAGAATTGCCTAAGAGTTTGTCTACTATGTTTATTACAAAAATAACCCACAAGGGCAAGTGGTAAGTTGTGGGATCCTGAATCTTTTATTACCTTTTTTTGATGCACATACGTGAAAAGTGACCAGAACTATTCCTCTACCTGGTGTGAAGAATAAATCTGGTACCTTGTCTATTTGCATTTTCGTAAGAGTAGACATACTCTTTCATAGGGCCAAATTTATCCCCAGACACAGCAAGGGGCTAAACTGGGATCTAAGGCCAACCATTCTTGGCTTCAGAACCTATGCTTTTACCTAACATAAAAGAACTCTATTTTTAAAAATGCATAGATATTGGAACAAAGTTAGGTCTATTGGAATTAAGTTCCTTGTTAGTCCTGAAAGGAGAAACATTCATTTATCTTCTTTGAATGTATGAATGAGCAAATTGATTTGATGATTTAAAAATTAAGATATCAGTAGCTCATAATTTCCATGGTAATTTCAAACTAATCTCAAAAGTAAGGACCCATGGTTTTGTTTTTAGCTAATTACATTATTTGAAGATATGCTAAAATACCTAATGTTTAAAATGGTGTTAGTCTTATTTGTATTCTCAAGAGTCTTGTAGGAAGATGGCCCATGTTTTTTTTTTTTTTTTTCA